ATATATAAACTATAGTACTCATATAGTACTAATAAACTTAATAATAATTTTAAGAAGACTACCAGCCCAAAATTAATAATTACAGAAGATGATGAGACATTTCCTAAAAGGAGCATCACTGATTTACAGGCTGAAGCCCCAGTCCCCAAGGGTATGCTATTTAGAGGCAAGTCCTTGGGAAATAACTGGGCTATGAAAATTGAGTCCTCGTGCATTGGATTAGCACCTGTGCACGAATATCCCCAAGGGAGGGCATCTCTCCCCAGGTGAGGACACAGCAGGAAGGTGGCTGCAGGGGGCTGGGAAGCCAGTCCTCACCTGGACCCCGCTGGCTGGCCCCTTGGTCTCAGTCTCACCAGGCTTCCGAACTATGAGAGTTGAATGGCTCTCATTTAAACCATTCAATTCATGATATTCTGCTACCGCAGCTGAGTAGACTAAGGCATATGTCATCTTTATGGTGCGAACAGAAAATAAATGTCAACATAGAAATCTCCAGCCAGAAAAATATCCATAAAAATGAAGAAGAAATTTAAAAAAATGCTTTCTAATGTCTGCCAGTGTACTTACATGAAGAAAATACTAAAGGGATTTGCATGCAGACAGAAGTCCAGGAAGAAATTAAGGGCAACAGGAGTGGTAAGTATATGGATAAAATTAAATGTATATTGTTGGGTGCACTAATATGAATGCATTCTGTGGTTTCCTACACAGTAAGACTAAAGACTAAAAATGCATCATAAAAGATAAGAGGGAAAGAAATTATGTTAAAGAAGTTTAAGGGCCTAGAATTATCTGGAAAGTACAAAAAGTATGAATTAGTAGTAGATTCTTTAAAATGACTATTATCATACTTAAGTTGATCACTAAATGATGTATAGATATAATTATAGATGTACATAGATGAACATATATAGAGGAAAATAATAGAGAGAATATAGTCCACAATATTTTTTTAAATAAAGGGAAAATAAGATGCATGCAATGAACAGAATATGAACATGTAGATACATGCCCAAATACATCAATAGTTTGTCCACTGTAAGTCATTTAAATACTCAATGAAAAAGGGTAGTGTGTTAGCCATTTTTCTGGTGCTGTGACCAAATACCTAGGAAAAACCACTGAAAAGAAGAAAAGTTTATTTCAACTCAAGTTTTAAAGGTTTCAGTCCACAGTGAGCTGGCTCCGTGGCAATGCACCCGTGGCGAAGCAGAAACCTCATGGCAGAAGGGAACAGAGAGGAAGAGCTGTTCACCTCGCTGTGGCCACAGAACAGAGAGAGAGGGAAGGAACAGGCAGGCGAGGGGTGGAGGCCCAGACAGCGCCCCCAGGGTCACGCTCCAGATCCACGGCTTTCAACCACTCTCAGTAATGGCGTCACATTGTAATCTCCCCAGTGCATGCATGAATCCACTTGACACAATCGCTTCCCAAAAGCCCATCAGGTGGCTTTTAGAGAACATTTTTTTGTTTTAGTATTTTTTTAGGGAAGGGTCTACAGGATGTTCAGGGGCTCACTACTAGATTGGACTCATAGTGATTCACCTGTTTACACCCTCCTAAGAGCTAGGATTACAGGTGTGTGCCACCACGCCCAGTCTCAATCCCCTTCTCAGCGCGCCCTGGGGACAGGGCGGGCACGGCAAACCTGGGGACCAAACCCCTGGCCACTGCATCTGCTTGCAGGCGCTTTAATCCACTGAGCTATTTGGCCAGCCCTCCTAGAGAACGTTTTAGATTCAAATTATTCACAAGCAGTACTTCTGGGCTGGTGGACTAAAGCCACCCCTTCCCATCCCCAGATGCCAGTCCTTCACGACGATCTGGAGCACATGAAGAGAGAATACAAAGCAAAATTTGTCAAACTCAACTTCACAGAACTCTGGAAATTAACTAAATGCTTGCACCAATATGGAGAGTCATACTTACAAAAAGAAAAGAAAATCAGGACTGCAAGCTCTGTGATGCTTTTTAACTTGCCCAAGTCTCATACTTCCTCTTTTTCTAGCTCAGGTAACCTTAAAAACCAGCAGCTTCACAACCACAGTAGCCATGACAACCAGCAGCTTAGCAGCCACTTGAAGGGACAGAATAAATTTGAAGCTCCCCATCTCCATTAGGAACAAAACAAAACAAAAATCCCAGAAAACTGTTACTTTCTGCCTATTCTGGCAGCTCCCAGGAAACGCTCTATGCATAAATCTCCTCTGGGCTTGACTTCATTTAGAGTCTGTTCCCTGTGTATTTATAAAAACCGTATGTACAATTAATGAACATCACAGGTGCTACCACCCCCCTCCTAAAGAAAAACCCTCAATTTTATTTAATCTTTC